CTTATAAATCTAATAAAAATATTCAAAAATCCTAGCTTATATCTACAAGCCCATATATGAGCAGGCTTCATTCAGCTCAAGTCAATGGAATAGGACCAGTTGATACTCTTGGCACACATGACTTTTTCTTTCCTTGACTAAATGTTAATGCTCATGGAAGGTGTCAGGCTGACAGTCTTTAATAAAAAAAAATCCAAGTTCTTTTACTATTTGCAGAACAGACAGGGGAGGAGAAGCGGAAGAATAAGCATTTCTACTCTACCCCTACATGTAGCTTCCTATGCTGGACATGCACTGAAAGAGAGGGTAATCACTCTCTGCCCTCATGCAAACCTTAGCACTGAGAGGGAGAATGAAAACTATGAGGCTGATTAATGGTGCATTTGATGTGAACACCCCAATGGCTAATAAATTCCCCATTAAGCAGTTCATAATCTATAACCAACAGGCCAGTGCTCAAATTGTTGTCTATAGATTGGATTTCTCTGTTTTAATGCTAACCAAGTCTATTCTTTAGAGATTGCCCTTGAAGGGTGGAGGTTACTCTAGGATATAATTTGCTGAGAATTTGCTGAGAAAATAAACTATTTATGCTTTTTATCTATCTTGTTGATCCCCTATTGCACTTTTATTTATAGTGAATAACATAGAAAAATAAAAATGTCACAGCATAAAGAAGTTCACAGGAACAAGACCAATGGTCAAATGGTCTGTTTCAAGCCATTTTAAGGCAGCATACTTTAGTTTTGGTTCCAGGTATCGCCATTGCAAAATATCTGCATCATCTAAATTGCATAAGAAACAGCTGGTTTGTTTAGAACTCATTCATTAGGAACACTCTAAACCAAGTAACAAAGTCACGCAACAGGTGAGAGAGTTTCCATTTGTTAACTACAATGAATGCTGAGGAAAAAACTAAGGATAATAGGTCACAGAACAACCTGATTAGTAAGTATAAGGAGGCCAAAGGATCATTCAAGACATGCATACAACACATATAGCTAGCTATATGTCCATTGATCCAAAGTTAACAGGAAATCTTATTTAATGAGAATAAAGAAATTAAAGGGAAGAAAAAACAAGTAGAACAATTGTACACTTGTTTGTTGATGAGACTCTTACCACTGAGGCTGAAAAGCTCAAATATCTCCGTAAAGACACTATTCATCAATGCCATGCTCCACATAAGTTTGGGAAACTCTGTGAAGAACGACTGCCCCCACCTGCTTTAACTCCTCTAAAATGGGAATACTTAAGTATGAGCTTCTCTGAGCACAATGGGACAACTGTCTAGCTGGTGGGAGAGGAAGAGGGAAGAGGTGTGGTGTCCGATAAAAGCATAGTGGAGAGTAAGGCATTATAGCCAGTTTTCTTAAATTTAGGTGACAATTTAGACACCTAATAAAGGGGTGGGGAGGCAACAGGACAAGATGGGATGGGATGGGATGGGATGGGACAGGACTGATTTTCAAAAGTTCCAAGCATCCAAACATTCACTGAGGGTAAGATTAGAAACAGATAGTTGACAATTTTGGCATAGTAATCTGGTAAGTGTGCTAATTTTTAATGCCTTTCCCTCCCCCTGAAGCAGGGTTTTTGTACTTAAAAGCTTGCAAAGAACAATTTTTCCAACTATTTAGTTGGTCTAATATAAGATATCACCTTTACCGAAATGACATTGTCGTCTAGTTTTTAATGATCCTCTGTTTTTGGAGAAAGAAACCAATTTTTTTTCATCTTTGTGACATGTGCATCCTTTCCTCACCTAGCAACAATATCTATGACTACGTGAGAGATTGTCAGAAAGCACAGGTGATATCCTGGCCTCATTGCAGTCAATGGCAGACTTTTTATTGGCTGCAGCAAGGCTGGGGTTTCACCCCAAAGGTTTATGGGTTGAAACACAAGCCTTATCAAGCAACTAACCACAATCATGCTGTTGAAATGCTCTAGCCAGACCTCCCATTCCTACATACATATGTAGAAAGAGGATAGTATGTTGAGATTTGAATATTTAACTTTAGTCACCACTGAAGTCCTAAATCCACCGTAATCAGGGAAATTTCACTTGCAAACATTTGAGATCCAGATTTGTGTGTGCATTATACTACACAACATGCCATTTACTTCTTCTAAGGTTCTCATGAAACACCCAGTACACCACAGTATCTGAGTACCTTTCAAAAGTGCACTCCGCCACATGATTATCAACACTCACATGCAGTCCCCCTTTGTTCTCTTTTTCTCTACCCACAGTAAGGCTATGAATCAATTACAGAGATTATTCTTTTTTATTAAAAACATATAGAATATGCACACATGTATTTCTAGGGTAGCACAAAGTATAAAAATTACAAAAGATTTGCCTAGGGGCAATACTGATGAATAGAGCCCTGAAAAAATGCAAAGTTCTCCTTCCTTCAGTGAGCTTATGCAATGTATGGGCTCAATCATAGAATTTTGGCTGGAATATTATGTTTGTTTAAAAGCAAATGATCTGACTGATAACATCAGAGCCATGTTGATTAAAGTGCATTTGATCATCAGGGTGGAACAGGGAAGCACTGAAAAATACTGCAATAATAGGAAATCAGATGAAGCACAAATATTAATTCAAGGATGACCAGAACAGATTTTTAATACAGATTTGTAACAGGAAACACTGTGTGTGAACTGATGGCATCCAACTGAAAAATCTAACTATAATGGTATTTTCATTCATATGTTGCTAGGAGTAAAATAGGTTAATCCACAATAATACTTTTTCTAGCAGTATAAGTCCGTGATCTAGGTTTTCCTCTCCCCCCTTATAAAACCTGAAACTCTACATTTATTTAAGGTCTGAAAAATGCTGCTTTGGGTTCCACTGGTATTCAACAAGAAGCGCTACCGACATTTATAACACTGGATAAGAGGCATTCAAAGTGTGATCTTGGCAAAGGAACATTCCCAGGAAAAAAATCTCAGTGGAATTAGCAAACAGCAGAGATATTTTTCTCTTTCTATGGTTCACATATAGATGTTAATCCAAGTTTACTATTTCTGTGTGTGTACAGGGATGTAGCAACATGGAATTATTATCACGGTTACAGTCTCAGACTCTAGATCAAGACTTAAAGGACTATATCTATATGATAACTGTCACTATAAGATACTACACTGCTTTTCACAAATATGCAGCCATGTGGGAACGAATACTTTTCACTGTATGGTAACAGTAACTCTCCTAAGGTTGGAGAGAGTGCATGAAGAGATTGCCAGAGTTAGCATGGAAGATGCACCTGTTAAGAATGGCTTATTTATCAATATATGTTTGGTTGATACAAAGGGTTTCACTTGCTTGAGAAGTAGCTCCAGCTTCCAAAATTTGGGGGAATAAAGATTTGAGTGACTGCTCAATACCCTACTGTATCTCAAAGGCCTCTCTCATGCATATAGTCATGCAGAAAAAGAGAAAACAGTTATAAAACCACACACTTGTGCTTCCAAATCCATAAAACCTACAAGATTTGATTGTCACATCTCCAAAAAAAAGCCAAGCAGCAGCAGCAGTGTTATCTGGCAGCCGATCTTGCATTCACTTCACATTAATTAGTTACACAGATATAATGCATTGAGCATTTCAAAAGAAGATAGACTGGAAAAGAAAAACATGCATGTCTGGAGAGCAGAGAGGAAAGTCTGGAAAAAGTCACCCCAAGAGTGCCCATCAAAGAGATAAAAAGCAAATACATATTATTTTAAACATACGTTTAGGTATCAGCTTTGTTGATGCCGTTACATCTGCTTCACTGTAACAGACAGTTGGATCCATAATATCTCTGTCAGGAGGAGGGTAAGGTGGGGGTGGGGGAATCACTAACTGGGGTGGACCACGAGTGTTGCCTCTAGGAGGCTTTTGTGGAACCTGTCGTCCATTACCTACAGGGGGATCAATTAGCTAGTTACTTTATTGTTAATCCAGTTGTTGTAAAGTTTGCTTTAAAACACATACAGGCATATGCACTCATTTCCCTTCTTTCTTTCCCCCTCCACACATAGATACACATGCATGTACATGCATGTGCACACACACACACACTCTCTATCTGGGTCTGATTCTGCTTTCACTCATCTCAGCATAAATAATAAATGAATAGATTGAGCTACTCTGGCAATACATTTATGTGCATGAGATCAGAATAAGTCCTGGGATATACATGTATGAAGTCACAATCTACCCAGGGCAATCAACAGAAACATCCACAAGTGTTTTGACAAGTGTAAGTAAGGAGTAAAGCATGTTGATTTAAAAATACCAAAGAGAAAATATCTTTTTGAGTTTTTTTCTCTTTTGGAATTTTCTTCTCCTTTGGTGTGAAGGACCCCATGTATGTTCACATTATCACAGAATCATAGAAAATTAGGGTTGGAAGGAACCTCAGGAGATCATCTAGTCCAACCCTCTATTCAAAGCAGGACCATCCCCAGCTATATAATTCTAGCCAAGGCTTTGTCTAGCCGGGTCTTAAAAACCTCCAAGGATGGAGCTTCCACCACCTCTCTGGGTAACCTGTTCCAGTGTTTTACTACCCTCCTTGTGAGTTTTTCCTATCATCTAACCTTAACCTCCCTTGCTGTAACTTGAACTTGAGACCTTTGCTCCTTGTTCTGTCATTGTAGCTCAGGGGTGGGCAATTATTTTGGGAAGAGGGCTGCTTACCAAGTTCTGGCAAGCCATCGAGGGCTGCATGGGTAGCCCTGCCCATTGACAGGTGTCCCACCCCCTGGTTACCATCTTGGGACTGGAAGTTCCACTCCCTAACCCCTGACCTTTACCACCAGAAGTCCCTCCCCTTCCCCCCAGAAGTACTCCTTTCAGCAAGGGGTTTTGCCATCTCTGAACCAGAAAAATACCAAGTTACATTGTAAAAATCAAACATACTACAACATTCATTAATTTCATTAAAAAAAATATTTTTGTCCTGATTTACATGAGTTTGTGTAGTGTACATAGAGGTGATAGTATAATAGCTTAAAACGAAGTTTTACTCTTGTATATTGTGGGAGGCTGGGTATAGGTTTGTGGGTATGTGGGGTGTAGAGGAGGGTGTGCATGTGGGGGGGCTGTGGGGAGTGGATAGGTGCGTGTGTGTGTGCGCGTGGGGGCAATGGGTTTTGTTGGGGGGGCTGGACTTGCTGCTGCAGCTGTTTAGTTCTGCCACTGGCTTCCCCTGAGTCCTACTGCCCCTGGCTCCTATCAACTTTGACAGGCAGCACGGGGCAGAAATATTAATTTTCTAAATTTTTAGGGGCTCTGCGAGCTGGATAAAATGGCCTGGTGGGCCGGATCTGGACTGCAGCCTGCATTTTGCCTGTCCCTGGTCTAGCTCCATCCTTTTGGAACCACCCTTCAGATAGCTGAAGGCTGCTATTAAATCCCCTTCAGTCTTCTCTTCTCCATACTAAATAAGACAAGTTCCCTCAATCTCTCTTAAGAAGTCATGTGCACCATCCCCCTAACCATTTGCATTGCCTTCTAATGGACTCCGTCTGATTTGCCCACATCCTTTCTGTAGTGGGGGGCTCCTGTCCTAGACACAGTACGTCAGATGTGTCTTCACCAGTGCTGAATAGAAGGAAATAATCACTTCTCTCAATCTGCTGGTAACGTCTGTACTAATGCAGCCCAGTATGCCGTTAGCCGTCTTTGCAACAAGGAAACACTAGTGGCTCATATCCAGCTTCTTGTCCATTCTAATCCCCAGGTCTTTCCTGCAGAGCTGTTGCTTAGCCAGTCAGTCCCCAGCTGGTACTGGCGCATGGGGTTGTTCCATCCTAAGTGCAGGACTTTGCATTTCTCCTTATTGAACCTTATGAGATCTCTTTTGGTCCAGGCTTCCAATTTGTGAAGGTCTCTCTGAATCTAAGCCCTACCCTCCAGCATCCTGGTGACCTCAACAATGTTAAATAAAGCTGTCTCTTTTCCTATCTTCCTAAACAAAGGAAGAGAATGATGAAGGCACATGGATGCCAGATTCTAGTCCACCTATTAGGTGCAAAGTAGGTGCTTAAGTGTGATCCTTGTTCAAATCCCTAAAAATCTAATACATCTGCTTCTGTAACATACCATTTTCTGACCTTTAAGACTCAGTCACAAAAAGTGGTTAAAAGGAAGACCTACCCAGCTTCGGTATTAATAGTTTTTGAGGTACTAGAGTAGGGTAGTATAGCACACATTTAGGCGCCTAAGTTCACTTGCATGTGTAACAGCTGGAATAGAATGTGGCCCCTGGTGTACAGTCTTTTATGGGTGTTTGTCATTTACGTTATGGAAAGGCAGTTGCATTGTGTTAGTGGTTGAATGATGGTGCTTTTAGCCTATATCAGAAAAAAATTGGGCTCAGATCCTATTCCACTTCTAAGATTTACATGAAATCTCAGGGAAGACCTTCTAAGTGTAAGAACTATAGAAAAATGGAACAAGTTGTCAATGTCTCACCATGGTGAAACAGAACTGGTCTTTCGTGGTGGTGCACTGAGAGAAAGGAAGAGCTTTGTGCCTCCCTGGGCAGTATAGAAGAGCACTCCTAGCACAAGATATGTGCTTTCAGGGCTAGCAGTGCCAAAAGTTTAGACATCTTTAAGAGATAGGAGAGGATATGGTCCTGAGATCCTTGGCCTTGGTGCTTATTTTGGCACTGTGCAAGCTAAAGAAGATAAACACATCTTTACACATGCCCTAGGGCTGGGTGGGGGGAGGATACTTTAATTAGAGTGGCTCTGAGAGCCACTTTAATGATCCCACAGCATCTCATGTATTCAGCATCCTGCACTTCAAAATGGTGGTGGGGGTGCTTTAACTAAAGCTCATCGAATGAGCTTTAGTTAATGTGTCTCCACTGCCATTTTGAAGTGCAGGAACACTGAATACATGACATGTGGAGGCTGATGGAGCAAGGTAATTAGCATGCTCCAGCAGACTCCATTAATCGAGTCTGCTCTAATGCACTGCAATTATAGCGTGTTGGAGTAGCATCCCCACACATCTATAGGTACCCAAAGTATATACCTTTTATATTACTGCATGCAGCAGTAATTATCAGCAATGCCATGACCTCTGGTCAGTGGGTGATGAGTAAACCCAGAAAGGTTTGGTATACATGGAAGCCAGATCCATCTTTCCCTTTGGTGTATGAAACAAGAGGCGTGCGATTACTTACAGATTTGGGTGTGAATAACACTCTGCATTCGTGATCTCACATGGGCCCTTATGCTTCCTGATCATGTCTCAAACCTTCTTCTGGGTATCTGGGAATGCTCAGCCTTAACTAAACTGGAGTTTACCAGGAATAATTTATGTCCAATTAATTTGCCAATGTCACCTAAACCTCTCCAAACGATTTATTTTTGGGAGTACATGATAGATAACATACACTGTTATTACAAGGCCTTGTATGAATCAGCGTAGTACTGCAGATAAGCAGAAGCAAGAACGGGGGAAGGGATTAAACCGAACCAGATTTTCCTAGAGTACACTCGGCTTCCAAAGTTTCACATAACATTGTAATGCTTACAAGAATGCCATAGTCTGATGGTCCTTTTTGCTTGCTTTGAAAAAAAAGGACCAGAAAACTCTGGGGTTGATACAAGTGATTTAGTGCTAACTATTTAAAGTGACCAATTTGTCAGTTGAATGCTTGAATAGGATCTTTATGTTCTGATTCATGTGGTCAGAACAGGAGAAACCCATGATACTCCCCATCATGCTGCTGTTTCCCCACCACATCCCCCTCTCCTTTTGCCTTTTTCAGAGGTTTGTAGTAACTGTCTCAAAGAAAGACTGTTTCATCAGCCTTTACTAGCTTTGTAACATTGTCTCCATGTCAATGGTGATAGTCATTTGGGATTGTAACAAAAATGACAAATGCAGGGGAGATTATAATAGGATGTATTCTCTGTCAGTGTAAATTGGTAAAGCTCCATTAACATCAATGATGCTATCGCAATTCACAACAGATTAGTCTATCCAACAAATAGTCACTTATATAGCAGGGGACAGACATGAGTGGTAACCTTTCAGATACTTAACACAAAATTAACATCTGCCTAAAGTTAAACCACCTTATGCCATCAATAAGAAACTAGTGGTTATCAGAAATGGCATTGGAAGTGGTAGCCTGTGGCATCAGCCACAGTTAACAGAAAGCTATTTTTCTGAAAACTACTATGTTATACTGAGCAGGAACAACATCTCCTTTGAGGGTTTAAATAAGAGATGTCAATGGAGTCAAACATGTCACAGGATAATGGACTCCTGCTGCTATATAAATGCTGAGACATTAAATGTGAAGCATTTACTGAAAATAAATGTTGAAACCAAGCCAAGAGGTTTCTTTCTAAACTGAAAGGCATTTGTAATGTAAGCAATTATATATGACAAGGTGTTCACTTAGGGTATCATATCTGCATGTCTTGGGTGCTTTGTGAAACATGAGGTCAAAGACATGACCTAGAGCATACTAAGTGCATTATGGCACTTTAAAAATGATTCTCTTAATGTACTGGATAATGAGTTCTAATATGTGAGGCTATTATCTCATATCTTTCAGGAACCCATCAGAAAACCACTTTGCCTGCTAAAGGCATAATCTTACTGTCCTCACTCAGGTAAAACTTCCACCACATTAAGAGAGAGTTTTCATTGCATCAGGACTGAAGTATGGGGGGAGTACTTCTTGTTTTCTCTGGGTGAGTAAATGTGATGTATAACATAAAACTGCAAACTATGGTGCCTTCGTCTTCTTCAGCTTTGTATGGAATTTCTTGCAGAACATGCCAGCTTCATTCTCATACTGATTACTTAAATTCTCTGTTAATGGAGATTAGGCTCAAATTGGACTGAAGAGAGAATGTGACTTTACTGAATATGGTTAACTGCTCTTAGACTGTCACAGAACTAACAAAAAAGAGACTGTGCAACAGTCTGAAGCCTTTGCAAACTATAGGGACATCTCAGTTAATGTACAGCATCAAGGCTCCACTGAAGGGAATGGAGGTATATGATACTGCAGACCTGCTGAAGACCTGCCCATGTTCCTAGAAGTCAGACCCATGAATTCAAATGCCATTCTATGACTGACATTGGCAGGGATGGTGATCTTCAAACGCACATTAGCTTAACTTTTCTTCTGCTGGTAAAGCTCCCACTGACTAAGTGGACAAGAGAAGAGCTCAGACTAAATGCTTCTGAAAAAATGTTTTTAATTCTGTATTAAAAAAAACACCTAGCGGTACTATCAGCTTTTATTCTTCTATGAACACCTGAAAGTGTTGACAAGTCACAAAATGTGGCATTCAGTGCTTATTTCCAGACTTTCATTCTGCATGTTAAATATATGTTCAGATTATATAATTTCTAATGAATGGGACACAGAGTTATGAAATCTTCAAACAGCGAAGCGGTCCACATACAGTGCATGCACTGGACTGGAGACAGTAGAAAAGAAGGGCACTTACCGACTGTGCTCTTTCTCTTGTCTTCCTTTTCTTCTGTCCTATTTGGCATGGCAGGAGTTGGAGTTGGGGGTGGAGGTGCACGTCTCTTTTTTTTCTGCAGATCATTCTGTGATGATGCCCCTTGTAAAATCTAGTAAGACAGGAATGAAAAATCCACACTAAGGCATTTACTTGCATAATTGGGAATAAAAATGCACAGCTCATCATGCAGTCTCTTTGTTTAGTGATGGGCACTTGAGCATACAGTATCAAGATAGATGTGGCGGCAATAGTAAGTCTGGTATATAAGCTCACACATTTTGTATATTTTGTATATTTTCTAATCAGAGATGTGTTCTGCCCAACTGAATGTGCATAAAAAGCCTGATCCAAAGCCCATCAGTGTCTTTCCAGTGGCTCTTATGAACTTTGGATTATGACAAGGGAGGAAGGAGGAGAGAAGCCAGGCCAGGCACTAGATCCTGCCCAGGAAAGGTAAGTGATCCAGCTACCTGTACCTTTGGTTTAGTTGACGGTTTGTTTGTTTGGTGGGTGTGTGCTCTGAGAAGCTGGGAGTAAGTGTTGAGTGACTGTTGATTCTCACCTCCATCCTTGGAAAGGTCTTTGAAAAGTTTATGAAGAATCATACTTGTGGCAGTCCAGTGGGAAAAAAAATGTAGCTGGGAAACCAGCACAGATTCACAGCAGGTAAATCATGCCTGACCAATCTGGTTTCGTTTTATGACAGGATCACAAAACACTGAGATACAGGAATAGAGGTGTAGGTCATTTTCTTGGATTTTAGCAAGGCCTTCAATATGATATCTCATCCCATTCTCATAAATAAATTAAGAGGCTGTGACATAGATGTTTACATGGTCCAGTGGGTGGCAATTGGCTTAGTGGTTGCACCCAGAGAGTGGTAGTAGACGGGTTGGTACTGACCTGGAAGGGTGGGGGTAGTGGGGTCCTGCAGGGTTCGGTCCTCTTCAGTATCTTTATCAGTGACTTGGATGTGGGTGTCAAGTGTACTCTGTCCAAGTTTGTGGATGATACTAAATTGTGGGGTGAAGTGCACACTCCGGAGGGTAGGGAATGATTGTAGGCAGACCTGGACAGGGACAAGCGAAGAGTGCTGCACCTAGGGTGCAAAAATATCCAGCACACCTATTGGCTGGGGAATGATCCTCTCAGCAGCACAGAAGCAGAAAGGGATCTTGGAGTCATAGTGGACTCCAGGATGAACGTGAGTTGTCAGTGTGACAAAATCATAAGCCAAGCTAACCGCACTTTATCATGCATCAGCAGATGCATGACAAATAGAACCAAGGAGGTGATACTTCCCCTGTATGAGGCATTGGTCAGACCACAGTTGGAGTACTGCATCCAGTTTTGGGTGCTGTACTTCATGAAGGATGTTGATAGACTCTAGAGGGTCCAGAGGAGGGCCACTCATATAGTTAGAGGCTTACAGGACAAGCCTTATGAGGAGAGGCTGAGGGGCCTGGACCTCTTCAGACTTTACAACAGAAGACTGAAAGGTGATCTTGTGGCTGCCTACAAATTGATCAGTGGGGCACAGCAAGGGATTGGAGATGCTCTGTTCACCAGGGCACCTCTTGGGGTAACATGGAACAATGGTCACAAACTGACAGAGAGCAGATTTAGGCTAGATATCAGGGAAAGCATCTTCACGGTAAGGGTGGCCAAAATTTGGAATGGGTTTCCAAGGGGGGTGGTGCTCTCCCCTACCTTGGGGGTCTTTAAGAGAAGACTGGATAGGCATCTGGATAGGCACTCTTTCCTGTGTAGGCAGGGGGTCAGACTCAATTATTTATTGAGGTCCCTTCCGATCCTAGCATCTATGAATCTATGACACAATCCTCCAAGTGCAGTGCCTGATGACATCTGATTTTCCTTAATTTCTCTCTCAAATTCATGTAAATTCAGAGTAAGCTGGTAAGCCAACAGAG